AATAATTTCTGAAAACAAAGCAAAACAAAGCACAGTGGGTGGATTTATATTCCACTTGTAGCTTTTGAAATGTCTTGGGTTTTTATTTTGTCCACTGTTTTCATTTACATAAAATTTGTTTAGATAATTTATATGGCAGTCCAACTCACTCTCAATACTTGTTCATTTTAACCATGTAGTCATTGTAGACAACTATGAAATAACTGCAGTCAAGTGTCTGAGGGCAGATTTGAGTTGTTGAGGGAAACTATATGATCAATTTTGTTATAGATTTTACAGCTCACTCTAAACTCTGGGCAGATTACAACAGTCCCAGTATAAAACAATACATGAACATCTAAAACGCACACCTGTGACAGCTAATTATACTAAAAGCTTGGTAAAGGAAGATCATTTGATCGTATGACGGCATTTGCAGTGAGTAAGTTGCAAGTATCTGGGCCACATCAGATTATATTAAAGTATTGAGAGCTAGATGAATGTAGTATTTAAAAGTGTGGTCTTTGGCAAGTAAAATGTACTAAGATGGGTTTGGACTAGATGGCCAAAGAAGTGATTAATTTGGAACTAATCACTCTCTCAGAACCAACTTTATAACAGAATGCATCCACCCAGATACTTACTGGTATATATTACATCTATATGTATCAAATAAATTGGCTGGCTACAATACTGGGTGCTTTGGCCTGATTATCTTAACTTTTTAAGTACACTGGTACCAGATAGTTGCAATCAAAACTTTTTGTGCTTTCAATACTTTTTGTTATCCTAAACAGTCTAATGTATGGGAAATAAATTAAGCAGGTAAAAACTTTATGATAATTGATGGGGAAAGGATGAACAACTTTATTTTTATGTCAAGCAACCATTGAAAACATAAATGCTGGAGCAAAACAAAAAGGGCAATCTGTTTACCACAGGCAGAAAGGTAATAAACTGCTAGAGAAGAAAGTTAATTAGAATAGCATATTTGTCATGCAGGCAGTGAACGCTTCTATCTATGGAATTCCCCCTTCCCTTTAGTGGAATCAGTGTGCAGTTCAATTTCTCCCACTGCCATGGATCATCCCTAGAAAAAGAAATGTTTTGAACTGAATAACTATTGTTACTTCCCAGCAAGAAGATAGACTGGACTGGACTCTGAAATGTGTTGGTGCAAATAAGAAATGGCTAAATTTATTCCATCTGTATCAGTAAGATTCCTTCTGCAATTAACTAGAAAATAATTGAAAACTGATTTTTTTTCTAGCTTGTTTTCCTGGCATAATGAGGGGTGTGTATGTGTGTGGGAGAATACACCACTCAACCAGTTTTAATACTTTTAAGATGTTGATCTCAATATTGTCTTGCTTCTGTGTAGGCTTTTACAAGATTTCACTGGGACAATGTATATTTGTTGGTATTGGCTTGTGTACTGCTCATATACTGACTAGCATTCACTTGGAGGGAGTAGTATCACATTGCTTAAAAATTTGCTTTTATGTTATCATTTCCTGACTATCATCCCTGTGTTTTTTTACCATTTTTATTCAAATACTTCCAAATTTCAAAAATGACCAGTCTATAATTTAGTCCTCACTTCAAAATGTTGATATGACATGCAATAGAGAAATCATTAAATACAATTATTCTTCAATCCAGTCAATCCAATAAAAAGGCAAAATAGAATGGAATTGTGTGGTTGCTGCAATTACACAATTTAAATTCTAGCAGACAAAAGGCCCTCAAGTTGAGGAACATGCTAAATTTCTGCATATTGCTTAACTTTAAAATGCAGAATAATCATGTTTTAATGGATTAGAGACTAAAGGAGAGCAATGCTCTCAAGTATATGCAGACTTTCAAAAGCATAGTTATTGAAAAAAATGTGGCCATTATTTCATCAAAATGAAGATTTACTAGTGCAATTACTGATTGACCTGTGCCAGAGTCCAGGCTCTAGGGCTGGGATTGAGGACATCATTTAGAAATTGAAGGCAGGTAGCACACCAGCTGTTGCCACTGGCCTGCATTATTATTTTTTTGAAAAAGCATTTGATAAGTTATGGCTCCCAGAGCTTTAATATGGCTACAGTTTTTTTAAAAAATTGTCCTTATTTAGGTTTATTCCGCTCCTTTCAATTGTTTTTGGAACGTTATTCAAATGGTATAAGCTTTCATGGTTGGGCAGTTTTGGACTTTGAGCTTCAGTAACCATGGACTAGCCAACAAATTTCTTAAGATTCTATGCCCAGTCCACCAAGCTTACTATGGGACTCTACTATTGGCACTGGTGGAAAGTGATTTGACACTTATGCATTGATAGACCTTCTCTAGCACTGCAATTCTACTCTATATAGAAACTCCTCTGAGATGCTGTGGAATTTATTTAAAACAAATCTACCCTCACTGATCATGAAATGTCAAGGCAGTTTCTTGTTTGAAACTGAAAACAAATTCAGAACCAAAAATAAAATCACTTTCTCAGTTTTCACATGCATGATCCTGATTTCAGCTTCATACCTTGGAGGATAGCTATTGAAGTCCAAAGAACAGAAAAGTGATTAATTATAGTTGAAGTCCTAGATAGAACAGTTATCAGCTGCATGCCAGAAAAAAATGCCCGGAAGTCCAGGACACAGAATAATTGAAATAAAATTTCAGCTGAATATTAGGTAGCCTCCTGTAGTGACACCTTTCCCTTCATCTTCATAGAGGCTGGACAGCTGCCAGCCTAGACTACTTTAGAGCTCACACTGAGAGCAAGGGATTGATAATCTGTGCTGCTAGTGCAAATAAAAACAACAGTAGTTTGACAGTGAAAATGGGCAATGGTGGGACTTCCCTTCCCTGTATATGTGATGAGCATCATGTAGTCATCCTATTGGAGGAACTGGGTATGGATCGAGAGAAAAGAAGGACTAGGGCTGACAGTATAGGGGTCTTTCAGTAGTTGAGGGGCTGTCACAAAGAGGAGGGAGTCAACTTATTTTCCAAAGCTCCAGAAGGCTGGATAAGAAACAGTGGATGGAAACTCATCAAAGAGAGAAGCAGCCTGGAATTAAGAATATATTTCCTAACAGTGAAGACAATTAACCAGTGGAACAGTCTGCCTCCAGAAGTTGTGAGCACTCCATCACTGGATGTTTTTAAGAAGAGACTGGACAGACACTTGACTGAAATGGTATAGGGCAGTGATGGCGAACCTTTTGGGCACTGAGCACCCAAAGCACACACGCATACCTGAAGGCCAGCTAGCTGGCGGGAGGTGCACGTGCTTGCACGGTGGAGCTGAGCTGGGGTGACAGCACGTGTGCCCACCAATCAAGGACAGAAGCAGCCTGGAATTAAGGAGAAACTTCCTGACAGTTAGGACAATTAAACAATGGGACAGCTTGCTACCAGAAGTTGTGGGTGCTCCATCACTGGAGGTTTTTAAGAAGAGACTGGACAGCAGTTGTCTGAAATTATATAGGCTCTCCTGCTTGAGCATGGAACTGAACTAGAAGACATCCAAAGTCCCTTCCAGCTCTGTTCTGTTCTATCTAATACTGTTTTTGGTTCTTGTATAGCAATATTGAGTGTGGGTTGGACTAGAAGACCTCCAAGATGCCTTCCAGCTCTATTTTGATTGATTGAAAGATTCCAGAACTGAATAGTGTGTCAGATTTAATGGCTTCTTTCAACCCTAAGTCAGTAAAATATGTAGAATAAATCAAGCTCAAGAACATTAGTTAGGTTTCATGCCTTTTACTATAACACTGTACAAATCCCTTACAGTATATAAATGGAAAAACTAGCGATAACAGAGCAAAATGCTGCATTTTGTGAGTTCTTCTTCTAACAACTTCCCAACAATTAAAAGCAACACTTAAGAATTCAAAAACTACTTCCATCAGTTCCTTCCCCCTATTTGGAATGCAATTATATTCTTACAACTTTTTGAAAAACTGCCAGCAATAGACTTCACTTCTAACTTCCAGGCTTTTTGGTTGTTGATAAGTTATGGAACTGAAAAACTATTAAGTAGAACTAATCAGAAATAAAACCTAGAGCACCAAAGCTTCGTAAGAAAGATACACACTTCTGCCAACTACAACAAATGCTTTTTCCACAAGAATCATTCATACAAATATATTTTTGCACAGCAAAAAGAACTGGAATATAGAAACTTCTATTGACTAGCAATAATATTTATTCCATTCAAATGACAATGATGCCAGATTCTTGATAATTCTCCAAGCAACTAATACTTGTTTAAAGGAAAAACAAAAACCTCTGCTCTTGATCTGATGCAGTGCAAAGGGGGAATGCACAGGTTATTGATAGGTAAATGGGAAATGACTGGTTCAGGTTCATCCAGAATGACTTTTGTCTTTAAGGTGAGTGGCTGTCTAGATAAGATAGTAAGTGGAATAGAAAGCCTACTGAAAGGCATTTTTTCCCTTTATTAAAATTGCTACCCTGACTTTTCTGACAAACATTAAAATCATAATTATTTCTTCATTCGGTAAAAACTTGCATGTAAAAGAAAATTCACTACCATATTGATTTCTAGATTTTAATTGTTAATGCTATTAAAAATCTCAAACTGGCCAGATGCAAAATGATCTCAATTTGTTAAAAAATTCAACAAATCAGCATAAGTACATCAGACAAAGGAACATGTTCACAAATCAAAGCCTCTTCTCTCCCAACTGCACTTATATCTGAACTCCAGCTAAATTATTTATTAAATCGCATTAAGGAATTGAGGTGGGTGTAAGTAGACCTAGAGGCAAATCATGCACAGAGCTATTAATTCTGATGTTCCCTGAATTCTCATTTCCTGAATGAGAACTGCCTTCCATATCCAATCTCTTCCTAGAGGCCAGCCAGGAGCGACCTAATGAAAGTCAAGTTCAGAATCACTCACACACATACACACAAACTAGCTTTTGAAAAGTGCCACGGCCCCTTTGCTGGAGGGAGTGGGAAGAGACTTTGGCAAAATAAGACTACAAAAGCAAGAAGCTTAGGAGTTAGTTGCTCAGTGGTCCTTGAGTTTGTAGAGGACTTTGATAGCGTTGGAGGACAGGGGGTCCTGGTAATGCAGCAGAAGATGCATTTTGGAAGGTATATCCATCTTCCATCTTCATGGTAGCATACTCCATGCTTGCAGAGAAGCCAGGATAAAAATTCATCTTTTGGTGGTTGATATAGTTGATGGTTTGTGGACTATAACAGGCCCCACCAGCTTTTCCAAAGAAGCTCCCATCCTCACCAACTGGATAAAAATTCTGAGGACTACTGTAGACCTGGTGGTGGTCACTATTATAACTGTGGTTACTACTATAGTTTTGATTGCTGGTGTAGTTCTCATGCATAGCAGCCAGTGAATGGATGTTCCTGGCCTCACCAATACTGTAACCTTCATGATAGCTTGGGTTTATGTCCAAATAACTATTCTGTGAGAAACAAGCAAAAAAGAGTTGTACTTTGTATTAATGGCATTTTTTGTTCAAAAAACCCCATATGCATTAGCCCCCCAGTACTTAAAACAATAGGGATTAAAAACAGAAGCAGGTGCTTTATAATCAATAATCCTTCTAGGTCAAAAGCATTCCTCTATCCAGTCATGTTCTAAGCTTTATGGCAGAAGCATTTTCCAGTTCCAGTTGAAAATGCAAGGCTTTGAACATGGGATCTTTCTCATGCGCTTCACCTGTCAGTTATAACTCCATGTACCATCAAGCTACAATACCTACAATAAAGAATCAATCTCTGAGCATCTTTTTAATGGGTGTTAAGAGTGGTTGCCCAATTACCTGAATTTGGCACATTCCTTTTCTCATCCACAGAGTTTCTTTCTGAGTTCGTTTAAACTTCATCCGTTGATTCTGAAACCATGTTTTTACCTGAAATGTGTTGAAAAGATAGGATATCATATGCCATTGTCCTTTTCTGAACACAAAGGCTCCAGCAGACTTGGCTCTTGGAATACAGTGTACATTTTTGGTTACTATAGAAGTATTTAAAATATGCAGTGTAGGGAAGACATAGGTCAAGAATTTGCCTCCACTTCTTATACCATTAGCACTTATTGATAATAGTATAGGTAAATGCTTTTTTTTAACAAGACAAAATTAAATTGTAGAATTTACCACAATTTAATGTGGTAGTAGGTGTCTGGTTTAGGTGTTTTAAAAGGAGACTGGATAAAATCCACAGCTAGAATCTTGATGACTCAATTGCAGGCAGTCTTAAATACCAGATTCTAAGGAACAACATGAAAAAGAATTACTACCCTCCTGTCAAAACATGTGATCTTCTCTAAGGCAATGACCCCCAAACTTTTGGGGACCAGGGACGGGTTCCATGGAGAGAGGTTTTACCATGGACCAGAGGAGGTGTGGTTTCACGTGCTGCCTGTACCCCATGGATGGGGCTCTGCTTGTTTGTGCAGCCCGGTTTCTGGCATGCCGTGGACCAGTGCTGGTCCACGGACCAGGGTTTGTGAATCCCTGCCCTAAGGTACCTGGCTGTCCAATAATGAGAACAGCAGAGTTCTTCAATTCAGACATCCTTATACTTCCAATTCTTGGTAGCATCTAGTAAGAGGAAAACAGATGCTGGACAGGCTTAAATAATGCACTTGGATAATTTTGTTATTTGCTGCTCAGGAAACCAATAATAATTACCTACAACTAGATAGGGTCCACTAAGTGGCAGCAGGCTTGAAAAAGCCCCAAGCTTTGCAGAAATAAAAAAAAAATAGGAAAAACTGTTCAAGGACTCAAAACTATTTGAGAATCTGTCAATCTCACTTTAAACATTCACAAGATTGAAAAATGCAGTTTACATGTAGCTAGAGAAAGAATAAGAAAGCACTTATACTCAAAGATTATGGGACATCAAGACAATCTTAAAGACCGATCCTAAGAGCCTCTAGTCAAAATAACTCAAAATCTAATTCTGGAGATTTATGCTTAGGACTCAGACTTGTCTAAATTAGATGTCCTCCAGTTCAGTTAAAACTACCACTCCCCCACATCAACCTAATTATTATATACAAGCATAATATATAATTCTATATTATACTAATTATTAAATAAATGATATAATTATTTTTATACCTTTGATTCTTGGTGACTATCTGGATAAATCCCTGCAATTTTCTTGGCCAATTTCGGAAGTAGTTTGCCATTGCCTCTTTCCTAGGTCAAAGAGAATGCCTGATCTAGATCACCTAGTTGGCTTTTTGCCTAAGGAAAGACTAAAAATCATGTTCTCTTGGTATGTAGCCTGGTGCCTTAACCACTACAACAAATTAACTCTATAATTATGGAAATGTCTTGGGCTGAATTCAGGCTGTGCCAGAAGTTCTTACCTGTTTGTAAGTGAGTTTCAAGGCTGCAGCCAGTTCTTGAATCTGTTGTGGACTGAGATATTTTTGGCTCTGAAATCGGTGGTGCAGTATCTCCAATTGTTCTTGAGAAAAGGCTGTACGTGTTTTGACTTTCCTGCTTCCTGGATTTTCCTCCTTGTATTTCTGGGGTGTAGAAGACAGCTGTGGAGAAGAGGATTGTCTGTTGGGACTGGTGGCAGAGTCAGGGGTGTAAAGAATTAATATTCCAGAACTTGGAGAAGGATCTAGAAATCAAGCAAAAAACAGCATTTAAGGGCAAAAGAAGATGACTTTTAAATAAATTAGATCAATATAATATTTTATAGCTCTGGGTTCAAACTGTTGGGTCCTTGATACTCTCCAAAGATGATGGTTTTCTTGCAGAGGCTTCATTATTACTAACACTGGCAGGGCAAGTGTAAATAAATTAGAACAAACCCCACTCCCTACTAATACTGATGAAGTTACCTAGTTTGGCAATGAAACATCTGCAAGAAAACCACCAAGCTCAGAGAGCACTAAGGACCTCAAAGTTAGAGAGATATAAAAAGAGATAAATAGCTATTTTCTCAGTATGTATAAGGGATGAAATTATGTACAGACTTTCAAACTAAATCCTTAAGATTTTTGAGATTGAAAGGAATTAATTGTATTACATTTTAAATAGATTTTAGGGTCAACATCAATTAAAAACTGTCACACTCTAATTATATATGGCCATGTTTAATATCAAATTGTTTCACCCAAACCTCCAAATGTATAATTTATCTTTGCCTAGTGAAATAGCAATAGCACATATCACTTTACAGTGCTTTACAACCTTCTCTAAGTGGTTTACAGGGTCAACATATTGCCCCCCAACAATTTGGGTCCTCATTTTACGGAAGGATGGAAGGCTGAATCAACCTTGAGCCTGGTGAGATTTGAACTGCCAAATTGCAGCCAGCTGACAGAAGTACGGTAGTCTGCAATATTGCACTCTAACCACTGCTCCAAGTAATTCTTTTCATTTATTTTGCAGGAAAAATGCTCAAAGTATTTGAGTGGACAGCACACACTGCATTCAATTAAAGAAACTAAATTCTGATGAGTATCTTTACATTTTTATATATCTTTACATTTTTATACACTTCTATTTCATAATGTTTCATTAGAGTAACATCCATTGTTTTAAAAATAAACACACAACAGTGCACTTTGTAGCATCAAAATGCCTAGGTTTTTTTTTTACATATAACTGGTTTTGCACATTCATACTTCCAGTTTATGAGACTAGAAAACAACCCAGAATACTCTCAAATTTGGAAAAGAAATGTGTGGGCCAAGCTTAAGAAGGGGACAGATACTAAACACCCAAGATAGAACAGGCGCTCTTCCCAGCACCAGCCTCCTTTTCTTTGGGTTTACCCCGCTCGTGGGAAACCTTCCAATCTCGAACAATCGCCTTACTTGAGAAACGACTTTTTTTCCTTTCGCGCCGATTAAGCAAAGGTAGGCTGGAAATCAGGGCCGACTCTGCGTAAGGGCCGACTCTTCCAGGCTTCCATCCTATTAAGAACTCTTAGCCGCGAAGGATCTCGCTTCAGTCCCATTCCCTTCATTTCCCACCTCCGTACTACTTCAGAGTAAATATGGAGCCACTGGGGGATTTTACTTTCAAGGTGCGAACTCCAAAGGGGATTTTAGTTGCTTAAGTTGCTCCTTAAAAAGCTCAACACATGTTCATTTAAACATCTAGTAAAGAGTTCACGAACAGTTGGGCTCACACATACTTTTACTCTTTTCTACGAATCAGCCATAGTAGTTTGTCAGCAGCGGGTTATATGGAATTAGCACGATGAAAATTCAGTCTCTATCGACTTAAAACATGGGTTGCGTGAAACACTGCAGCCGGTGCGTTTTACTCTGGGCTGCAATCCCACGTGGCTGAACCATCGGAAGAGTTCCCCAAATCAATCGTACAGGCTTTGACCCTTCGAGAAACGGAACGGCTCCATCTAGAGCTAAGATTTGGTGCAATTACACACAGTGAAGAGGATTCAGGTAAAGCAGTAAAGTACACAAACCAGAAGAGTTAGATTTACACATGTATATGAGAGAAGATTCGCATCGTTGCGGGAACACTCGCTCCCATTCTCAGGCAAGGGAACCGCCAAAATATTAGAAGTGGGGTCCTTCCCCTTGGAGACTTACTTTGGTTTTTGTGTGGTGCCTTTTCCTCCACGTCACTTAAAGCTTCTGGGGGAGGACCCCCTTCCGAACTGTGCACCGGCTCCTGCCCTTTTTCCTCCGGGGAAGGCCAGTAATACTGCTCATAACCCATTCCGGAAACCGCCACTCCGGAGGTGTAGGCTCGATAAGCAGTATTTATGGCCAGCGGGGCGTTCATGGGTGGAAACGCGGAAACCTGCGGGAAGAGCTGTAGAAACCTTGGAGCCTCCTTGGGGTACCTTTTATGGCCCTCCTTACGGCAGACAGACATTCCCGAATCATTGTCATGTTAAAGGTGGCCTAATTGACTGGGAGTGGCCTGGGTAGAACCTGAGTGGTGGGGAGGACCAGATGTAGAGAGAGAATCGCGGCCTACCATTCAACGTAGGTTGGCTGTTAGAATTCAAACAAGCCACTTTATGAACGTGTGAACCTGGCCAGAATGGAATTAGGGATCAGATAGCCTTGTTTTTGCTTCTTGAAGGCGAAATGTCTGAAAATATTTCTGCAGGATTTAAAGAGAATGCTGATACTTTCATGGACAAGTCCAGATGATTTTATTGGTAAGAGAATGAAAGGAGTTAGCTTTCTTCTGTGATGCTTCCAAACTCCCCAGTCTTAGCCTGCAGACCTCCCCAAGTGTTAACCAGGTGGTAAATCATGCTTAGATTTCTAATTTAATCCAGAGCAACCAATGACTGCCCTTCTGAGGCTCATAGAGTATGATTGCTTGAACTACAGTGACTATTTGTGCAACATATGAAGCAAAAAGGAACAAACTATGCATTTGTTGGCTTAATGTGATTGGCCTTAGGAACATTTTACCTGAATGGATTTGGTTGATCTTGGTTCATGTGGCTTACTTTGTTAAAGCGTTTAGATTTAGTTAAGCAGGCACTCTCTTTGCCTGTTATTAAAACAATGTCATGAAGATGTGGCTTTTATGTAATTCCCTGTATGTGTATAGTCTCTCTCCTGAAGTTTGCACAGTCCCAAATTATTGTCATTTGGGGAAAATGTGGCTTTTTCAGTTTATGGCCCTTAAGCAATACTAAGATTTTATTTTTTAGTTCTCGACATTTCTTTCCCCCAAATAATTGGCTAGCAAAATAGATACTGATTATTTACAGTTTTCTATTTGTTTTATGGGCTTAATACACATGATTAAGGTGACTTATAAATGGATAAAAGAAATAAAAAGTGCATGTTGCCATTTTACTCTCATTTCATGCAACTCTTTAACTATGTTTTCTAGAGCTATGTCCATAGACTCTGGCTTTCCAGTGATGACTTTACTTTTTGTGTGTCAAAAAGCTTCTGTACACATCCATATTTATATCAAAAACAATGCATTTTTTAAAAAAATATAGATTGACCATCATCATCGTTGTTATTGATCATTGCACAGTGAATCAGATGTTCAGACTGGGTTTGGCATTTTTGTCTACCTATTGACTCCTCACAAAGGACCTAGAATAGGGAGATCAGGGTGTTTGATGGTGTTACAGGTACCATTGCAGGATAGAAGCTGCTCCAAGCAAAGCTGCCTTCTGCAATTGACTGATGGTGAATTTTTTACCCTTGCTTGCCTTTGCCACAGTCACTCTATTTCTATTTGTAGGTTTTTGTATTTTGTTATCTTCTTCAATTCTTTCTCTTCTCTTCTGCTGTCTCCAGGCACTGCCACATCCACTATCCAGACTTTTTTGTGACTTTCTCTTTTATGATCACACCAGTTCTTGCTTGCAAGCAAATGATATTTCTTGCAGATCTTCCAATGTACTATTGTTGTTACTTAGTTATGCCATTGTATGTAGTCAGTCTGGGTGATCCACTGTTTCTTCCATTTCTTTGGATAGGTGACACTTACTGTCTGTTGCTGTCTTCTCAATTCTAGATTTGTTGTATTCATTTGTCTTTAAGGTTTGGTCTTGTTCAGCCAAAATTAGCCCCTCAGCTTCTTTCTTTAACTTTCCTGCTCTTAGCCACTGCATCATCATCATCATATTATTATTATTAACATTAACATTATTAACATTATTATTAGTAAGCATAAGTAATCTGTGTTCAAAGTATTCCAGGTAGAGCTATTGCATTTTAATGTACATAACTGCATTTTATCACCACATTTTAAATTGTCTAAATGCTTTAATAAATCAGTATTTATTATGACTGATTCCAGTCATAGTATTCCAGTATTTGAGGGGCTGCCACAAAGAAGAAGGGGGCGAAGTACCAGATGGCAGGACAAGAAACAGTGGTTTAAAACTAACCAGAGGGAAACCATCTGGAATTAAGGAGAAACTTCCTAACATTCAGGACAATTAACCAGTGGAACAGATTGTCTTCAGAAGTTGTGGTTGCTCCATCACTGGAGGTTTTTAAGAAGAGGCTAGACAGTCACTTGTCTGAAATGGTATAGCTTCTCCTACTTGAGCAAGGAGCTGGACTAGAAGACCTCCAAGGTCCCTTCCAGCTCTGTTCTGTTCTATGTAATACTGTTTTAGGTTCTTGTATAGCAATATTGTTTTGTGCTTGCTTATCAGTTAAGCATTTCTTGCCATTTTTACTGCCTTACAAACTTTAAATATATTCTAATGCTCCAGTTTCTACTTGCTATTTTGTACTTTTTCTCTTCTGCCTTGTGTTAAAATGCTCTCAGCCCCCTTTATCACATCCCCCTATTAATACTGTTACTGAATACCAGCTATATCTGGTTATTGACTGTAGTAAAGGATCTGATTTGATTTTGAAGTGTTTTGTCAGCTTCACCAAGCAGCTTTTACAGAGATTGGACTGTAGGAAGTTAGAACCCACCCCAGGATTCATTTTTTTTTTACTACCGGTTCTGTGGGAGTGGCTTGGTGGGTGTGGCATGGCTTGGTGGGCGTGGCTTGATGGGCATGGCAGGGGAAGGATACTGTAAACTCCCCATTCCGTCTCCATCCCACTAACCTGCTTTCCAGCTCCATTCTCCTGTTCAAAGCAACAAAAGAAGACCCAGCTGATCAGCTGGGTCTTGGGAGGCAGAGAAGAGATGGGGGTGGGGGCCAGTCAGAGGTGGGATTTGAGTAGGTGGGAACTACTCAAAATTTCCGCTACCAATTCTCCAGAACTGGTCAGAACCTGCTGAATACCACCTTTGCCCCACCCGTCTCCTAGAAAATTGAAATATCCTAGGAAATATTTAAAAAGGCAGAATATTTCCCCTAAAAAGAGTAGAAACTCAAGAGCAGAAACTCACCCCACCTTTGTTAATGGGTGGGCCATTAAGGCCTAGGGCGGAATACTTTACATAACAAAGATCTCCAGGTAAAGCTATAGCAATTGCCAAAAGCCCCTTTCAGTGCATCATCATCCAGCAAGGCTCAACCAAGCCTGGAACTCAGGACAGCCTACAGAGTAGCCCCCACATGGCCCCATCGGAATCTGACAACCAATTAGAAACAAGCTCCAATTCAAATCCCAACAAAGGTTATAAAACCCAGGCACTCTTAGCATCTCATCCCCTTTCTTGATCTCTTCCTTCACCTTGAAGCATGTGATCATCCTTCCTTTTCACTCTGGAGCTCCAGGCCATGTGGTCCTGTCCACCATTAAACCTACCAAACAGCCTCCATGTTTCCAGTGTCTTTTTCCCCACTTGGAACTGAACCCAGAGGGATATTTCTTCCAACAGTATCTAACCAGGTTTGGGTGGGGGGATTATTTTTAAAGCATCCACTAACTGTAATGCATTCTGAGTTTTCTTTTGCTCACATCAGTCCTTCCTTTGTGACCTGATCTTCTTTTCATTTCCTGGATGTTTCCTTGCTTATACTGAAATCTTCCCTAAGTTTTCTGTGGCTATATTTTGCTGCCTTCCACATTTTTCTTATTAGAATTGTTTGCAATCCTGCTTTTAGCTTCTCTTTATTTAGGAATTCCAACCTACCTTGAACTTACCAGATCATAGTCTTCTCATTATAGTGTGCTAAAATGTTATTTTTACAATTTCAGCTAATTGTAAATGATCAACCTAGACAGTGGTGGTGGTAGGAATTAGAAGGACCTCTAACTGTTTACTGGAGGAGGAGGCAGGATCATATAGTTGATGATTATAGGACATAGAAAAATAATAATAGTAATAACCATGTGCATTTAAGGCTCTAGCATAATATATACAGTATGAGCGTGTGTGGGGTGTGTGTAGTGTAATAAAGTCCCTTCTCACCCCCATGGCTAGTATGGATCTTCCTCAATTTCAGGTCCTTTACCCAGAGGCTTGTGAATTTGAGGGTTCTGTGCTATCTTTTAATTCTCTAGTAAGATTTTCAAATGTGCAGCCACCACAGCCATCTGGATGGTAAAAGGTGGAGAAGATTCTTGGCTAAGTTTACCATACTATCTTTAGAGTTTCTGCAGACAGATAAATTTTGAGTTGCAAAAGAAGAACATTGCTGCAGGATCAAAATTAAAACAAAAGCAGTGGGAAGGTTGTCTCAGCTGGTACCTCTATGGAAAGTTGAGTTGCATTTAGCTTAAACAAATTGAAAGACTCATTTTATTTCTACTCTTTGCATAGAGTTGCTAGACTAAGTCAAGCTTCCCACTGCTTTTGTTTTAATTTTGATCCTGCAGCAATATTGCCCCTTCTGCTACTCAAGATTCATTTGCCTTTTCTGGGATTTCACCATTCAGAGCTGTCCAATAATGTCTTTATTCATAGGAATACTAGGTTCCCCATATGCACTAGGGGAAGTTGGTTGGGGAGAGAACAAACTTTCTTTCCTATTGAAATCACAGCCTTTAGATCAGGGGTCGCCAACTTTTTGGACCTCAGGGACCACCAAACTCATAATTTTAATACCCACAGACCAAAGACCCTGGGAAAATCCCCAAAGAAATTTGCAGGAAAATTCCCCACCCCGTTTTCCTACTGATCGATCATTTTTCATTTGGGATCGCAGGATATTGTCTCCAGCTCTGTTCTCAGAGTGGGGGGGGGGGGGGGGGGGGGGGCTTTTTGGGCTTCTGCAGGGAAAACCGGGGAAGCAGCAAAAGTTTTTTTTTTTCTCCCCCAAACCCCCCCAGAAATGAGTCTTTGTGAGACTTGTCACTCTGGTGCAGCCTCTTGGAGCAGGATGCCTTGCAGGGTCCCAAAGACTCCTTTCTGGTTGAGTTTGGGGGAGAGAAAGA